CTTGAACATTAGGTGCTTCCCAGGAGGGAGAACAGAGACTGGAAATGATGGGAAGGAGGTGGTAGAGCAGTGGACAAAGGCCTGCAGTGAGAGTGGGGCCTGGCTTCGTCCCAGCCCTGCATGGCCAGATGGCCCAGGACAGGTCCCTGCCACGCTGAGCTTTGGGCTGCCTGGCCAAGATGGTGCATGGCTCTCTGAAGTTTGCAGATGCAGGTGGGCCCAGAGTATCCCTGAGAGCAGAGCGGCACAGTGTCCAGAGAGGACACAGGATTTATACACAAGGTCACGCAAGTAGGTGCCAGAGGTGCTTAATGGCCTCTGCCACAGCGGGGCTTACCAGCTCAGGGGGGTGCTTTGCGAAGCGCTTGTAAGTATTTGCTGAAACTACCAGCCAGGACAATGGCAGTGATAGTGATAGTTAATATATAATAGGTTCTTGCTATGCTGAGGGGAGTGTAGAAACTATGTTACCATGTCCTGTGCAACATGCTAAGGACTTTATATGCAAAATCTCACTTATCTCCCCACTCCCAGCCCTAACAGCTTAACCCTTATCACCCTCCTGTCATAATGTAAGAAAATGGAGACATGGAGAAATTTAGTCATTTGCCTAAAAGAAATAACTAGTAAATGTCAGTATGATTGAGATAGATGGGTGAACGCATGGATGGAGAGATGGATGGGAGAATTAATTAATAGTATTGGTAGTGATGTATTAGTTACTTCAAGGCAGAGGTTAATCCAAGAAAATGTGTCCCCTCTCAAGCTACTAGTGTTCAAGGACAAGTTCACAAACAGCAGCCCATTCAAACATAGTCCAGGATACATTCACTCTGACCAGGATGCAGAGACAGACACACACATGTAGCCAAGAACAGAAATCTTACACTGAGACACAAATAGAACCAGTAGAACCCAGTTCACTCCCTGCCTCAGACATGCACTGATACACTGACAGGTAAGGCAGACACACAGGATGCACACCATGAGGGAAGAAGCAGCACACATCCACGCCAGCAGATGCAGCCACACGAAGGTCAGTATGCGAGGACAATTTACAGACCATGGACTGGTGACAGTGGACTCGCTTAACACAGAACCCACAACGTGCAAGGATGTGCTCTAAGGCAAGGTCATGCACACACAAGGTCTGGCGCACCATGTGGGTCAGCTCCCTGGCTGGGGATCGAACTCATGCTGCAATAGCTGCAGACAGCCTCATAGTGCTGCGCTTTAACCCCTTATATCACCAGGGGGGCCCACTGGAGAGTTTAATGCAATGAATGTGCTAGTAACCATCTCCTGTATGCCAAGAACTGTGCATGCAGCTCTTCTTTACCAGGACTTTGTAAAGCAAGTGCTAAGTATACTTATTTTTTATTAGAACGCTGAAGGACTTACTCAAGGTCATGCACTTAAAATAATCTTATAATGACAGACCCTGGAATTCAAGGCCTGGCAATATTTCAGTTCCAACCCAACAAGACTTGTACCCCTGCATCTCCGGCTCATTAGGCTGGAAGCCCCAAACTCAGGAATTTGTCTCCAATTCCCCACCCTCCCCTCTTCTGGACTCTACTTATTTTCCCCACCACTAGATCATTCCTCTATCATAAAATTAGGTCTTTGAACACATCGTTCACTGTAGGAGTCCTGCAGTGCTCTGGAGGGAACAGTGTTTCAGGCAGAGGGAACAGCAAGTTGAGGATGATGGACCTGAAGCCGAGTGAGTCAGGAGCTTTGGTAAGAGGTAGGACAGAGTAGTAGACTGTGAGCAGTGAGGTTTGCGTAGTACTTGGGCTTAAGTCCAAGCGTGATGGGAGCCACAGGAAATGTGGGGCAGAAAGCAGGAGTTTTGGCTACAGTTTTCACAGCTGGCTGCTGGCTATGGACAAGCTGTAGGGGCCAAAGGCAGAAGGATGGAGCCAGAAAGGAGGTTTCTGCAAGAATCCTGGTGAGAGAGCTGACCTGACCTTGATGCGGGACCATCACCTGGTAGTGAAGGTGTGGAGAAGTGGGAGGATTCTGGATAGGTATACTTCGGGTGTAAAATTGATAGGAATTACTGATGGATAGAATGTGGTATATGAGCAAAAGAGGCATCAGGAATGACACAGATTTATGGACAAAATGGAGGCGGTGTTTACCAAGATGGAGATGACTGGGGTGGGGAGACTCTTAACCATACGGGCCACTGGGAAAGAGGGAAGAATCGGGAGCACTCACCTGCTTCAGGAGCAGCAAACTGAAGTCTGGTGCCACCCTGTCTAATCCTCTCCTGTTTGAGGGTGTGTTGATTTTATATCCTGCTACCTTGCTAAACTGGTTAATGGTTTTGAGTAGTTTCTCTGTGGAGTTTTTAGGGTTTTCCATGTAGATTAACATATCATCTGCAAATAAGGATAGTTTTACTTCTTCTTTCCCTATTTGGATTCCTTGTATGCCTTTTTCCTGTCTTATTGCTCTGGCTAGAACTTCCAGTGTTATGTTGAAGAGCAGTGGTGATAGTGGACACCCTTGTCTTGTTCCTGATCTCAAAGGAAAGGCTTTCAGCTCTTCTCCGTTGAGGATAATATTGGCTGTGGGTTTGTCATAGATGGCTTTTATCATGTTGAGGTATGTTCCTTCTATTCTGAGGATTTTGAGGGGCAAGGACCCCCCTTTTTTTTTAAGATTTATTTATTCGTGCATACAGAACTGAGGTACAGGCCAGAGGCTCAGGGGCGGTGAGAGGCTTCACCAGAGACAGAGTGGGGAGCAGAACAGGCAGATGGATGAAGTACACTGCTGAGGGGAGCAGCGGGCGGGTCAGGGGAGGTCTGCCACACCATGTGGTCACCTCCGGGGCAGGCGGGAATCGAACTCATGCGGAAGCTGCTTTAGATTCTCAGTGCTGTGCTTTAACCCGCTGCACCACCAGGGAGGGCCCCAAGGACCCCTTTTTAATACACTTTTAGCTCCATGGAAAGCGGAGCCTCCAGGTTCACCACTCCACCTGATGGAAGGTGGAGCTGAGTGACCAGGGGAAGCCGGATAAGGGGCTTGGAGAGAAGACCTGGACACGAGAGGAGGCCTGGAGGAGGCACGTGGCACAGAAAGACGTGAAGTTCTTGCTTCTCAGCTTTGGCCTTGCACTAGGGACGTGGGGGACATGGGAGATATGTGGGCGAGAAACATTGGGGGCACTGGCAATCCGCTGCCTTTATCTTGACTTGTACTTTGGTTTTGCTCCTTTCCCTTCAGACTGGCTTGGTCCCCTCTTCCCCTTTTCCATGGTTCTCCACCAGAAGGTGCCTTAGACTTTTGGCAAGCCTTTTGGGCCTCCATGACCAGGTTTGGGCCATTTACCCATGAGGGGGATGGGTAGCTGTAGATGTCTTCTTGGGAGCTATTATCCTTTCTTCTCTTCTCTCTCCGCTAATCCTATTAAGGTTCTTTTCTATTAAAGGTCTTACACACTAAGCATATGCTTTGGCTTAAGGCAGTGGATGGCAGAATCCATTTAGAACATGGGGAACCCGGGGTGCCCTTCAGTCTGTCCATGAACACCTTGAGCCTGCTCAAACTCTGACTGAGAACTGCAGACTAGGAAATGGGTGTTGTTTCCCTGCTAGGAATGAATGCAAAGACATCCCGCTCGGTCCTCACTACCATGTTAAATTGAGAGTTCCTGTCACTGTACAGATGAGGAAACAAGTCAGTGAGGCAAGGGGCTTTGCCGGAGGTCCACAGGAGAATAGTGCCTCAGTGGGGACTCAGACTCTGGGCTTCAGTCATCTCATGGGGTTGTTTCATAAAGAGGGCCTGGAACTAGGGGAGGACACGGAGGGGCTGATGGTGGGTGGAGGCTGGGGAATAGAGTGAGGGCTTGCAATGGCTACTGTGCTAACCTGGGGGTCTGCGAGTGTGAGCCTCTGGGGAGGGGCGTGGGAGTGTCTGCGAGTGTGCGACTCTGGGTTGGTGTAGAGGTCGGGGGTACCTGTCATGGGAGTGCTGGGTCTGTGCCTGGGTGTCTGGGATGAGCACTTGTGGAGTGTGAGTCCCTCTGAACTTCTCAGTAGATGTGTGTGGGATCAGGGGCGTCTCTGCGCCGGCCTCCCTGAGTGTCCACGGTGGCCCTGTTTGTCACTGAGGGTGTGTGCAGGTCTCTGGATGTGATTCTGTTTGTCCTGGGTGTATTCACCTGTCTGGGTGAATTCACCTGTCTGGGTGTCTGGGTGTGGCGCGAGGGGGTGGCTGGTGTATCTACTTGTGTGAGTTTCTGGCGTCCAGACTGTGTGTGGCTAGGTTCCACAAGTGTCTCTAGGTGTGCGTCTGGGTGAATCTGTCGGGGTGTGTGAATGAATCTGAGGGTCTCTGCGTGGGAGGCTGAAAGCGGAGGGGCGTGTGCCTGTCGCTCTGAGTGTGACTGTGTCCCTACCTGAGGCCTGTCTCCGTGGGTGACCAGATGCCTAACTCGGGGTGAGTCTGAGGGCTGCGTGTGGGGATGGGGAGCCGGGACC